CCGTTTGCGGATGATACGCGGTGGACGTGGCTGGCTTGATGCCGATTAGACGCCAGAGTTCTCGGGTGAAGTCCGCGATGAACTGTGAGCCACGGTCGGAGACGTACTTCTCCGGAGTCCCGTGATGGCGCCAGACATTCCGGTAGTAGAGGCGGGCTGCTCCTACTGCGTCGACCGTGGTATGGCACTCGGAGAAGTGGGCTCGCTTCCCAAGGGTGTCCACGACGACCATGATCGTCGTACCCATGGGCCTCGGGGAGCTCGACAATGAAGTCGACGGAGACGGTATGCCAGCGCTCGGGGGTGTTTCCGTCGGGTGTAGCTCTCCGTGGGGCAGTCTCGGAGCGCCTTGGTGCGACAGCACAAGTCGCAGGTCGCGACGTACCGGCCGATATGGCGAGACATCTGAGGCCACCAGTAGTTCCGGGAGACCAACTCCAAGGTCTTGAAACGACCTGCGTGTCCGGCGACTCGGGTGTCATGGCAGAGCTCGATGATGCGTCTCCGGAGGTCCTTGTCCTTGGGCACGACAATCTTCCCACGAAAGTGGAGAAGACCACCGGAGACGGCCCACTCGTCGGAGCGTGAGGAGCGGGGGCCTCGAGCTTGACCTTGGACCTTTAGGAGTTGCCGGGCCGCTAGTGCGACGGGCTCCTCCAGGTCAGGCTCACCGGAGAGGGCATCGCGAATGTCGCGAAGAAGTTCGGAACCGGGACCGGAAACGGAAACACCCTCGAGTGCGCGGACGTGGAAGAGTTCGGGCCGCAGAAGGACGACGTCCGGAGTTGTCGGAATCGATTCCGTGGTCGGGTCTCCGAGAGAGGGCGTCAGGTCGGCCCATGTCGCGACCGGGCTTGTGGTGCAGCGTGAAGTCGAACCGGGAGAGGTAGAGGGACCAGCGGGCCTGTCTCCGGTTGAGGTGCTGCGTCTTCCTGAAGTACTCCAAATTCTTATGGTCAGTCCAGATCTCGACGGGATGCGCGGCACCCTCGAGGAAGTGTCTATACTCCTCGAGTGCGCGGATGATCGCGAGCATCTCCTTGTCGTGGATGTCGTAGTTGCGCTGGACATCATTTAAGCTTTTGGAATAGAATGCTACAGGGTGCCACTTCCCGTCCGGGGCGGATTGTGAAAGAACCGCCCCCGTCGCATAATCAGAGCTGTCCGCCTCGAGTCGGAAAGGCCGTGCGTCGTCCGGAATCGCCAGGACCGGTCCGAGGTGACCGCGTCCTTGATCGCTTGGAACGCGGAGGCCTCCGCGTCGCCCCAAGTCCATTGCTGGTCCTTCTTGGTGAGCGCAAAAGAGAGAGGACGCGAGGGCCGAGAAGTCGCGAATGAACCTGCGGTAGAAATTAGCGAACCCAAGGAACTGCTGAACATCCTTCTTGTTTCCCGGAGTCGGCCAGGCGGAGACGCCTGCGACCTTGACGGGGTCCATTTCGACGTGGTTGTGGGAGATGATGACTCCGAGGTATTCGATTGACGATTTTTCAAGTCGCACTTCTCCGCCCGGAGGTACAACTTATGCTCTCGGAGTCGGCGCAAGACCTCCTGGACGATCTGTCGGTGTTTCCGGAGGTCGGAATGGGCGATCAGGATGTCGTCCAGGTAGATCATGACGTCTCCGGAAAGGATGAGGTCCTGGAAAATGTCATTCATCATCGTTTGGAACGTCGCGGGAGAGTTTGTCAGGCCGAAGTACATCACCAAGGGCTCGAACAGGCCTCGGTTAGTCCGGAAAGCTGCCTTCCACTCATCACCTTCTTTGATCCGGACGTTGTTGAAGCCCCAACGAACGCCGAGTTTGGTGAAGTAACGAGCGCCTTTGAGCCGGTTGATGAGGTCGTTGATCAGCGGAAGGGGGTACCGGTTTTTGACGGTCATCGCGTTGAGGGCCCGATAGTCCTGGACAAAGCGGAGTCCGCCGTCCTTCTTCTTGACGAAGAAGACCGGAGACGCCATCGGAGACTTGGAGGGGGCGAATCCGGCCCGTCGACAGCCCTTCCTCGATGAACGCGCGTCGAGCTCGCGTTGCTCAAGGGGGAGATGGGGTACACCTTGCAGTTGGCCGGCTTAGCGTCGGGGACGAGTTCGATGGCGTGGTCCCAGGTTCTCCGTCCCGGGAGCGTGTCGAAAGACTCCTTGTTGAAGACGTCCTGGAACTCTTTAGCCCAGTCCGGGATCTCGGAGGGCGGGGGAGCGGAGTTCCTGGCGAAGGCTTCAGCCAGGCGCTGCGAGACAGTACTGCCAGCGCGTATCTCCTCCGAGGGACGGAACGAGGTGTAGAAGATGCGGTCACCATCTTCAAGCTGACCATCGTCATCGTCGTCGTCAGAGTCCGGCGTCAGATCAGGCAGGCCGGAGTCGTCGCCGGAGACGGAATCGTCTCCGTCATCAGACCCAGAAAGGTCCATGGCGCAGACCGAGGGGAACGGGCCGGAGCGGAGTCGCTTCTGGAGCAGCCGGAGTCGCCGTAGCTCAGTCCGTTCAACGCGTTCTTCCTCGCGGCAAGTGGAGCAGCCACGGGGGCACCGCGTCATCTTGACCTCCTTGGTTTCCCAATCGATCTCTGGGTTATGCTTCCGCAGCCAAGAGTACCCCAGGATGAGGTCTTGTTTACCGAGATGGGTGACGGCGAGTTGAACGCGCTCGGAATGGCCTTTGTAGCGTAGGACCAAGTCCGCGATCTGGTTGATGGAGCCAGCATCATTCGGAGTGCCATCGACGTTGAAGACCGGAATCGGCTGCGCCAGGGTGCGGACCGGAATGCCATTCCGAGCGACGTAGTTCGTGTCGATGAAGTCGGAGGTGGCACCACAGTCAACAAGCCCAGAAAGGGAGAGCTTCAACGCACTGGTGGTGGACTCTAGCTCCAACGGGAGGTGGAGGGAGTTTACTCCAGGGGAGGCAGCGACAGTGTACTGCTTGGGCAATTTCTTTTCCCAGGCAGTGAGGCGGCGAAGGACGACAACCGGAGTCGCGGGCGGAGTCGGAGACGGAGTCGAAATGGGGGCAGGGGAGGGTATGTCTTTCGTTTCAGGCTCGTTGTAGGGCAAAGGAATTGATTCGTCATACAAACAAGCGAAACGATTTATGGACGCGAACGAGGGCACACCAGTCACTCGTCGCGGGGGACAAAATCCTCTCCGGCCATCGACTCCGCAGCCGTCTCCGGCAGCGCAGCTGTGTCCGAGTAGCGGGCGATCAACTCCGCTAACATCTCGTCACCGAGTTGTTGGATTACCTCGTCGAGGATGTCCATTGAGCGGACGTCCGCGGGGGAGGGGCAATCCCGGGCGAGATGGTTTGGGTCGCCGCACCTGAAGCAGGCGCGACGAGGGGCACCCCGAGCCCTAGTGCGATCCAACTCCATGGGGACGGGAGCTGGAGGCGCCGGAGCGGGGGCGCGGGCCGCGGGTGGCACGACCGGAGCCACCGGGCGGAAAGGGGCCGGAGCCGGGATGCGGTTGACCGGAAACGGAGTCCGAATCAAACCGCCAGGCGTCTTGGGGGCGGCTGACTTGATCAGCTTGGCCCGGACCAGGGCCTCGTATTGACGGAAGGCCCGGGTGCGCCAGCTAAGGTAGTCCCGGAGGTCCGGGGGGTCGTTCGAGGACGTGATTCCGTTGTTGATCAAGGGGTCAAGTCCGTGGCGGAACTTGGTCACCTTGACCAACCGTCTTCGAATCCGGCGAGGTCCATCAGGTCCTCGAAGTCGTCGGTGTACTGGTAGACATCCTTTGTGCCCATGTGATAGGCGGAAGTCTCCAGTTTGGAGAGAGCATGATCTTGCTCGTTCTCCTCGACGAACCGGAGTCGAAACTCGGAAACGAACGAGCCCCAGGACGGAAACGGAAACGGGGCTTTGCTTCCGTGGCGCTCCGCCCATTGCTGAGCGGGTCCTTCTGCCATAAACGACATGGCATAGCGGACGGCCTTTTCCTCACTCGCCTCTCCGTTGACCACAAAGGCCTCAGGGGCAAGGCGGGCGTAGGTGCGGACCGCGTAAAGGAAAGGCGCGGCCGCGTTTCCGATCGCCGTTGAAGGTGAACGGAGGGTTTGGTCGCAAGACCAATTTTGAGGCGAGGTTGATGTCGCCAAAGAGGGCTTCGGAATCGCCCTGAACCGGAGTCGGAGTCGGAATCGACGTCTCCGGGGGTGGTGTTGTTTGGGGTCCGCCAGCAGTATTAGCGGCGGCAGCGGCAGCGGAAGCCTGGGTGGTGAGAAGAGTAAGGGCCTCAGTTAGGCGGTCGATTTTCGCCTCGAGTGCATCCAGCCGAGTGTCAGCGTCAGGAGTAGCTCCGGAAGGCATGACAGGTGCGGGGACGACAGGAGTGACAGAGGAGGAGGGGACAAGTGGTAGGGGCGGTGACGAGGGCGGAACGGACTCGTATTCCGAGCCTGAGTCAGCGCCGAACCTAGCAATCTTGTCCGGTTGATCCCGTAGAGAGTTTCTTCTGCTGTAAGGGCAACCCCGGAGGCCTGAGATCAAGGTCCTAGCAGGGGAGGATCCAAAGAGTGAATAGAAGTAAGCAAATACAAGTGAGGCTGACCTAGCAGGGGAGGATCCAAAGAGAAGAAACTCTAAGGGTCCGCCTGCTAGGTAGCGGAACTATATACTGCGCTCTTGACGCGCCAAGGTTGATCGTTGCTCCGTGCAGTATGCCTGCGCCATGTCGCAGGCCAGGTCCCAGGGGGATCGCCAGGCGGGGGCGGCGATGCGCCTGACGGAGGCGGTGATGCGATCACCGGAGTCGGAACCGGAGTCGGACCGGAATCGGGATCGTCTCCGAGGGGCCGAAAGGGAGGTTCCCCTGACAAGGCTAAGGTAGGCGACATTTGATTTCATCGAGTGATGTGATGTGTTACTGATGTGACTGATCTGCACAGCCACGCGCGAAATTTGAGGGCACTTTTTTGACCAAGTCGCGGAATGGCGAGATGAGCGCACAGAAATATTTTTGAGATTTTATATAGAAGGAATACAAAGTTTTGGCAGTTTACTTTTGTGTGGGACCCAGTTTCCAAGCCGGCCACTTAGTCTTAGCCTCCCGCAAGTCCTCCTCATATGATGGTGGTAGAGTGCGATGTCCACGATACTTCTTGTTAGCCCAAGCTGCTTCTGCACCATTCAGCCCTCGGAAATATGCATCTCCAAACCGCGAGGAACGTGTTGCAAAACGTCGCATAGACTCAATAGGCACTGACGCAACAGCATCAAGCAGATTGGCACGCAGGTCATCCTCAGATGTTGACTCGGGATACATGCGGTAGATCCGCTTGGCATAGCCCCAGCATTGCTCGATGAAATTGAGCTCAGGGTGGAATTTGGGAAAGAAGAGCACGCCATAGCCGCGTTTCTGGCAGTGTTCCTCCAAGATTGACATCTGGTTCTTAAAGTCTGGCTCCGAATACATCATTTTGCGCAAGCAGCATTTTGTATCCATGGTTGTGCGGCATTTGAACGCGCCGCTGCCGCCACACTGCACAAGATATTTCTTCTTTGTGATAGGATTGATAGAGTCGGGATCAGGGAGGTCGTGGCCCTTAGCACGTCGCTCTTGGATAAGGACTTTAAGCCCCTTGAACGTGGTTCCATTGGCCTGGTAGAGAACCTGGGCAGAGCCATCACGGAAAGTAGCATCCCGCATGTGAACATAAACACCATTGCTTTTGTTGAAGTTATTGGATGGCCCTAGAGTCATGCCAAGTGCGCTGAGTGCATCGGGGGCGCGCGCAGTATGGATGGTCGCATTATCGTAAGCAAAAACATGTCGGTCCTCAGTGTAATCACGGTCGAGGATGTTCATCGCGCGGGTGACCTGAGCAAGAATGGTCTCCGTGGTCTGATAGCCTTCGCGCTTCTTGCCGGGTTTGAGAAGGACACGAGCATCGTCAAATTCACTTTCAATTCTCTCAAAACAGACAACAGAAAGCAGCAGAATGCACTCACCCTCGCACATTCAGCCGCTTAGATCGCAGCCAGCCGTATTCAGGTGACACAAAATCACCAATCATGTCGCTTGCACCTTCTCCCTTTGCCCTAATCTTTGCTGTCTCTGACTCGTGGACCCAACGAGTGGTGCGTCGATCATTTGCGTAAAAGATCGACTCGTCTTGACGCCAGATGGTGTAGGGTCGGCAGTCGAGATTGTCGCTCATGAACAGTCGCATCCGACACTCGTGGTCGACCTCCTCAAATGACGCGTCAGCTTGCCAGTGCCGCGCGCTTGCCTCGTAATCTCTCCATTGTGGGAGAAAGACATTTTGGCGATAATTCACCACATCTGCTCGTTCATGCCCATCGGAATACATCCCCTTCGGCTCCTTCTTCCACCGATAACCCATCTTCTTCATCCAACGTTGGGCAGTACGCACAGAGATGTTGCGCTTGACGCGGAGGCGGGCCTGGAACTCGGGAGTGCGGACGTAGCGCGCGATTTGGTTGGCGGAGACCCATTTGCCCAGACCTTGGAGGTGGAGATGAATTGCGCCAGCCACATCCTCGTCAGAGAGCAGTGACGAGCTGAATTGTCCAAACTTGTGTTCTGGTAAGTTTGTCATGTTCTCGCAGAACGCGATTGACCACTCTCGCAGCTTTCGCGCGAACCACGTCTTCTTCCCTGTCTTCCCACTCGCCATCGCAACGACCTCGGACTGTGTTGTCCACCCTTGGAACCCAACCGCGCAATACAGCTGCAAGAATCGGAGCATCGCCTCAAGACGCGCTTGCAACACCAAGTCTAGCTTGGCTCGAATGCGTCCGTGTCCACCCTTGCGACGCGGGACGCAGTTTGTCGTGAATATTGGCGATGGCTTTGACCACAGACTCGTTGGAGGGCACCCGGGAAGGAATGCGACGAGCGTCAACCTGATTGTTGCGGATTTGGTGCTCGGGAGGAACGGAGGGACATGGCAGGTTTGGTGGTAGGGTTGGTTCGGATGAGATTGCTGGTGGTGGGTGAGCTTGGTCCCAAGGTTCGTCCTCGTCGAGTCCCTCCTCCGCGCGCTCCTCCGCTGACATCTCCAGCGGTTCCGTCGTGATTTCGGTGCCAGCCAGCGGGTCTTCATCATCATCTTCAGTTCCTTCCCCACTCTCTTCAACATCCTCCACCCATGCCCTCTTCCCAAGCGACTTCACAGCCATCTCTGACAGCAGTGGCGCCACCGGTGTCATTTCCCGCAACTCCTGGGCCGGCAACGGTGTCCCTCCCCAAACCCTGGGTCCCTCGAACTCGAGCCTCTCGTTCATCTGCGTTCCAAATGATGCTTCAAGGCCATTCTCGTCGGCGCTGGATTTGAGACCGAGGTCTTCCTCGGCAGGCACCATCTCGATGTCCCCGTCGCTTGACTCCGAGCCGGCATCGTCCACCACAATAATTTTTGCCCTGTTGTGTTCGTCAACTCGCGCCTGTGCTCTCCCGAATGCCTCGAAGAGAGTGCCGTTCCGGACACCCATTCTCTTATTCTCAGCTGCCTCCCGCTCAGTGCGCTCTTTCTCGGCCTTCCTCTTCTCCTGCTGACACCGCTTTGAAGGCTCCTTTCCGATCTTTGTGCTGTAATACTGAACCCTGCGACGTGGAGCAGCGCTGACATGGATGGCTGGACATGATGTTTGGCTGGGAATGGGCTGGCCGGTTGGTTCTAGTGCAGAAACCATACGGCCGCTGACTGGCAGCAGCTTGTCACAAAGCTGCAGCCAGGTGAGGAGGGTGTCCGAGTTGGTGGGGTGGGGAACATCGTCTTCCTCCTCGATTTCGAGTGGCAACTCGTCATCCGAGTCAAAATCTGAGTCAGATGTGGGGTGGTGATGGTCAACAGGACTGAGCAGGGTGTTCAGGTCGTTGGTTTCGTGCTCTTCGTCGCTTGGCACATCTAATTTACGCCTCTGTATTCACTTTTGAGTCAATTTCCAGTGAAAAACTCATAAAAGCACACACCTTGTCCTGTTTCTGGCCGTGAGCACCCAAATTCAGCACTCTTTTTGCTCCTGCTTTACGGGGCATGCTTTCTTAAGTGTCTGTATGAGCCGCAGATGATGCAAAAGTCGGCGGGGATGGGTGGAGACGCGATCACGTGTACGTGACAATGGTCACGTGTCGTGACATATCATGCATTTCAGAGGTGCGAAACTTTTCCAGGATTTTTTGGAATTTGCTCAAATAGCCAGGGAAAAAAATCAGACACACTTTCCAAAAAAGGAAATTATAACTTGACATTGGCAAGAGATACAAAAATTCTACAACCAAGAGTTTGTTCAGGGCCTGGCCCCCTTTTGATTCTAGGTTTTGCATTTCCCAAAAATGGCTTCGTTGCGGCGGAGTAGGCGGGCCATCAAACTCCATCATTGTGATCCCATCACTCGATGAAATCAAATGTCGCCTACCTTATATCTAGCTAGGTTTTGAGTAAAAACCTTATCTATAAAAAATTGGGCTCGTTCACCCGATATGGTGAATCAGGTGACCTTGACTGATGATGGATGGCATCTACCTTATTAAAAATTAACTCAAATAATAATTTTTTTTAAAAAAAAATAAAGCCTGAAAAACCAGAAAAAAAAAGTACTGTCAAATAGTCAAAATGTTATTTTGAAATTCGATTTGCTCTATGTTTGTTGATTTGATTGTCCACAACTGTGCTTTTCTTGTTGCAGTGCATGTGGCTTGGTATGAACTTGGCAATCCATATGTCCAGGAGTTGATGCACAAAAGCAGATATTTTCCTTAGGCATAGAGGAGAATGGCAACTTGATTGCAAATCAATTAGTAAATTACAAATAATAATTACCATATGAAGGAGCCTATGAGATGGTGTGGAGTATTGTGTATAACTAGCTCAGAGGGAGTGTCCAAAAAAAACATGCTTGAAACTGGTTTTTTATCTGCCCTTTCTTTGACATGCTGAATGTTTTTCTGTGGTTCATGCACTGTTCTTGTTTGAGGTGCACAAATGAATTGAGGCTAGTGCTCAAATGTGTCTTGGACGCAGACATCTCCCGTATCAGTAAGCGAATCGCGTCCGAGTCAGTCGCGGTCCCGGGCCGGCCGGTCGATCGGCGATCGACGATCACGGCACCACGTGGCCCATCACGTCAGCATCCTCGTTTTCGTCCGTCCGTTCGTTCGTTTCTTCCTCCCACCACGATGCCGAAAGCGTTCAAGGTGCGTCCCCCCGCTTTTGATTGTGCGCTGAGTAAGCGTTTCATAGCGCAAGGTGTACAAGCCCCCGCCGAATACGTTCTTCGCGTACGTGCACAACCCGTGGCCGTACCTCGACGCGCCGCGCCCCGCCGCCAGCGCCAGCAACGCTAATCGGGGGAGAGGAAGCGGGCGGGCGTGGGGCCCGGCGCAGCGCGCGAACGCGACGCTGGCGTGGGTGTGCATCATGGCGCGCGACCTGTGCGGGGTGCAGCTGGAGAAGGAGGACATGGTCCTGTTCCGCAAGGGCACGGTCAGCTCTTCCCCCTTAGTATACGATTGATGCGAGCGGGTGCTGATGGGGGGTAGTCGGACGACGTGATCGTGCAGATGGAGGCGCCGGCGGGGACGGATCTGGCCGCGTTCGAGGCGCTCCTCGGGGGGCACCACCGCGCGGACTTTGAGCGGGGCGACCCCAAGGAGGGAGACGATGTGTTCAGCGTCGTGTATCGGTACGATTATGCGCTGTATAACGCGCCGGGCCAGAGCGGTACCCTCCCCCTTCTTATCTTGTATGACTAACCAACGCCCGTGCGCAGGCTGGGAGGAGGTGCACGCGACGGCGGACGTCAGCTTCGCGCCGACGAAGCTCCCGAAGGACTTCTCGATCAGGCGCGACGGCGCGTACCCCGCGCCGCGGCCCGTGCCGAAGCTGCATGCGGTGCGCCCGAAGGACGTCGCGGCGCTGCCGGGGCGGCTCGTGCTGGGGCATAAGGACTGTGTTTATGTCCAGCCTGGGCCGGCGGCGGGGCAGCTTCAAGAACCGGCTCCGGTTTTGGAATCCGCTGTAGTGGAAAGAGCGCCAACGCCGAGTCCAACGCCGCCGCCGCCTCAGCTACCACCGCCCCGCTCCGAAGTACTGTTTGTTCGCTGTCTCTCCATGGTGCTGACCGTACTTAGCATGCATTTGTCCCCTACGAAAGCATCCTGCCGACCTCCGGACGCCCCGCCCCGCCAGCACCCAACACCGCCGACACCGTCGAGACCAGCGCGGCAGCACCACGCTCGAGCAAGCTGGGCAAGATCGACCCGGACGACGAAGGTAGCGCCGCCCGTTCCGCAGTAGAAAGCACGAGAATTCTGATGGTGTGCGTCTAGATGCTGCAGCGCAGGCGTACCTGCACGGAGAGCCACCGGATGTCCGTGTGAAGCAAGAACACCACGAATTTGACGATGAGGAGGCGCAAGGCGGGCTGGGCGGCATCGCGGAACTGGTGCAGCGGGAGCGGGAGCGCAGACAGCGCGGCTTGAACGGTGATGGCACGGGGCCGAGTGCCGTCCCGGGGACTGCCAGTGCGCCGGGCGTGCATGTCAAGCAGGAGCCGCAGGACGCGTGCCTCCCGATAAATGCTGAACCAGAGCCAGCAGACCCGGGACAGCTTGAGGCGATGGCACGCGTCAAGCCCGAGCCGTTCGAGCCGACTCTCAGGCTGCCCGTGCAACCACAGCCGCAGCAGCAAGACCGCGCCGTGGACCGAAACAATCGGGATGCATATACAAGAACGGAGATCGACAAGCCCGTCGGCGTGAAGCCGGAGCCGGTCGCGGTGCGCATCCCGCCTGCACCGGCGGCACGCCTGAGTCAGAGAATGGACGAAGATGTGGGAACCAAGCGTGAGGCGATTCCTGCGACCGTCCCCGCAGCACCGGCGGCCGGCGGAGTCTCCCCACGGACGGTGTCCGTCTCCGCGTCAGCGCGTGTTAAACGCGAAAATCTGGACCAGACAATGGAGGTGGACGACTTCCTCCGGGACGCCACGACTACCGTCGTCAAGCGCGAGCCGGTGTCCGTGCGTATCCCGCCTGCGTCGGCGTCCGCGCAAGTTAAACGAGAAAATGTGGTTCACCGAATGGAGGTGGACAGTCCCCGCCCCGGCGCCGGCGCCGGCCGGCGTTCCCCGCCCGGGGATGGAACCACAGTCAAGAGCGAGACGACGTCCGCGCCGATTCCACCGGCGGCAGAACGGTATACCCTCGTCGAACTCCCGCAGACACCCGAGCAGCGCCGCGCGGCGCGGCTGTACGGCGTGCACGCGGCGTCGTACCGGTCGGTGCCCGTTCCCCCGGTGTCGGGCTCGTCTTCCCACAACACCGCGGTGGGCCGCGTCAACCCCGAGGCGGTCGTCAAGCCCGAGCCGCAGGAGCCCGTCGTCCCGATCGAGACGGAGGCGCCCCGGCTGGAACGGCGGACGCGCTTCCGGAACCGCGGGTTCGATCCGTTCGCGGGGTTCGGCGACGCGCCGGGGCCGGGTGTCAAGAAGGAGGAGGGTACGTATGCGAAGCTGTCAGGTGTTCCCGGAGCTGACTGTGTTTGCAGAAGACATGGGGCAGGTGGCCCGACCCGATATCGGTCGCAGGCGTATCAAGACGGAAGACGACGGCACACAAGACCGGGACCGGTACAGGCCGCAGCCGCCGCTGGCCTATCCCGCCTTCGCGTACGCGTTCCCTGGCGCGCCGCAGGCGTATCCTGGGCCTCCGCGCGGGGTGAAGCGCGAGCGCGAGGAGGACGGTGAGTTTTGTTTTCGGGACCGGCGGGGCTGACGGGCGCCGCTAGAACACGGGCTCGGGCTCGGGCTCGGGCTCGGCCGCGGGGCGCAGGGCGGACGGTATGCGGCGCGATACGGTCGGCGATAATAATGTCTGTTCGCGTGGCTTGGTCGGCTGACCGGCTTTATAGGACGCGCGGCTGGGGACGCGTACCGCTAGGATGCATGTGTCTGCTTTATCGACTGGACTGGACGCAACCTGCAAACGAAACATTTGAAAAGGAGAGGAAGTGACGGGAGTTCAAATTCGAAATAGGATGGCTGCTGCGTTATCGAATGGACTGGACGGGACCGGCAACGACAAAACAAATCGAAGAAGTGCTAAAATCAAAATGAATCCTCATCTATGTTCCGAACTTTCAGAGGCACCCCCGGAATCGAAACGGGGAACGTCGATCAGCCTGGTGTTGGACAAGGTGCTCGCTGTGTGGTGCTTCTCAGTATGTACATAGATAGCTGTGTGTGTGTGCTGTTACGTATGTAGTGTCGACAATGTTAACTTGTTATTTCAATGACTTTAACTCAGCAGCAGGAAATGCTTCTAATCCTTGCACAAAAAATGCAGAAGAACGTCAAGTGAGGTCAAATTCAAAATGAATTGACATCTCAACCTTGCAGAGGCACCCCCGGAATCGAACCGGGGCATGTCGGTCTCAACTCCGAGTCGCAGCCTGGTGGTGTACGAGGTGCTTCTCCCTGGAGTCTGGACTGTAGTATGTACATGGGTAGCTAGCTCTGTGTGTGCGTTCATGTAGTGTCGACAATGTTTGTTATTTCAGTCAGGAAAAATGCATCTAATCGTCGTCGTTTTCGTCATGGCGGGGCCGCGTCCAAGTTCGCGTCAGCAATGGGAAAGCACAGGCCATACGCATCCTGCGCGCCACAAACCTCCACGTCCGCCGTCCCGAGCTCGAGGACTGGGATCGGCGCGTCCTCCTCCTCCCCATCTTCGTCTTCTCCGCGCATCTTCAGAACGCCGGCCCGGGGCTCGGGGTTCGGCACGGGCATCGCGATGACGCACGCGACGCGCGTCGTCGGGGACATGGGAGACGGCGGCTCTGAGTCTGGCGTCATGCTGTTATCGGCGGCGGCGGGCCGCAATATCGTCGTCCGTCGCTGGGCCGGCGGCTGGGGGAAGTCCGACTTCTCCGTCAATGGGCCGGCGTCCGCCGGGGCGGGCAGGAGGAGCGCTGCGGAGAGCGGCTGTCGATGCGATAAGCAAATCAATACCAATGATTCCAACGACACGCACCACGATGCCGCCCCAGCTGCAGACCCCGCGTACCTTCCCGTCCTCCGGCTCTATATAGACATCGTGCATCATCGGCCGTGGCCTCGCTGCGTCGGCGTTGGCGGGCGGGCGGACGCCGACGCGGACGGGCCAGGGCGGGCGGGGGAGGAGGCCCAGCGCGCGGAGGCGGCGCCGGCGGTAGACGCCGCGGGCGATCATGACGGCGGCGATGAGCAGCAGGATGACGAGCGTGCCGACGAAGATGAGGACTGCGGCGGGGGATAGGTGGATTGAGTGAGCAGTGAGGAGCGGGGGACGCACGATAAAGTGTGCCCGGGGAGGGCATCCCGCACCCGAGGCTCGTCTGCGCAGTGCACTCCGTCGTATCCGTGTTTGTGTTTGTGCTCGCAGCCGCACTCGCACTCGCACTCGCCATCGGAGGAGGAGGGAAAAGAGAGGGGAAAAGGGTGGGGAAGCGAAGAAGAACCGCCCCGACAGCACGCTCGTTTCTCCGTGTGTAGCCGCTTCAGGCTTCTCGCGTCCTACGGCCCGCGCTAGTCTTCCCCGCACCCGTGTCCACTGTCTGTCTTCGACTCGGCCCATCGAAGTCCCCGTCGGGCCCGTCCTCGACTCCGTGAGTTGCCGCCGCCAGCGCACAGCACGGCGTCTAACCCATCCTCCCGGCGTCCGTCGAGGCGAACAACGCAGCGTCTTCGGTCGGGGAGGGTCTTGTGGCTGAGGGTGGGAGAAAAAGAAGGTGCGCTCGGCCCGGCGAAATAAGCGGTCTCCCGAGATGATGTCATGCTTCGCGGTCACGTCCTCCCACAAGCTCGTAGCATGATTGAAGGTAAGCCGACAAGCGGCGTAGCACAAACTGATTGTAGACTGAAATCAAACTGAGAGGTTTTGGAGAACAAGCTTAAGGCTTCAAGCCCACTTGTTTACTAATTTTCCAAAAGAAATAATTGAATTTCTGGAATTTATAACCAGGCTTGGACTACCTAAAGACTATGTAGATAGCACAGGATTTAACCCTGACTTCAAGACAGACTATGTATGTTTTATCTACCTAGCATACTGCTATGTACTACTACTGTTGGCTTCAAGTAACAAGTTTATCATAACTTGTTTATCGCCAAAAAAGAGGCTGGCCCGGCACATCCGGTTTGACGTGAGAGCCATCAGTGTTACCTAGTCGTGACAATCATTCTCATTCTCGACGGTCCATTAGCACAAACTTAAATCAGTTTGTGAATGACTGCCCACAACGGTGCAGGAGTATAACTATAACCGGTGTTCTAGCAGACATCTTTTGTATCCAAGACATATACTGTAGATTAAAAGTAGTATAGAAAAATTCAACCTTTGTAATATATATTATATACACCAAATGTTCTGTGATCACATCAGCCACCAGTGGGCACAGGATGTAAATCCTGGGAACCTATTACCTGATATGGCAGAGGGTCAGAAAAAAAACTTTCTGACCAGCAAACCTATATCTGTGATTTTGAACTTGAACTCCCCTTGATTATTAGTATGAGCTGGCTACGCAAGGCAAATTCAAAAAATTAAACATGTATTGGATGTACACATTTAGATATATATGTATCCATAGACAAGAAATATGATATATTATTTTTTTTCATAATATAAGAACAAAAGAATGTCTTGGGCCATCAGGAAAAAAGTGGATCAATTGTAAGCGCTGTTAGATCAGATAATCCTGATATGGCCCGTCAAGCACTTATAGAGTACCACAAGTGCTTATAGTGCACTCCCCAGACTTTTTAGGGACTTATATACTATCTAAAAGCACTTGAGCTAGGTCGTAATATAGTCCTAATGATATAATAACTGTAATATCATTCTTTCAACATGTTTACAATTGCAATATCATCCTTTTGCTATACTTGTAATGGTCTAAATTGAATATCTATTATTTACAAGGACGCAAAAGGACTTGCAAGCCTACTGAAAACTTTTGATTTGCAGGGATTGTCTATTTAACCTGGGCATCTCCAATGTCCTCCCCTCTAAATCTGGCTTACCAGAGTTACCAGTCAGAGTCAGACTCACTGTCCTACTCTGAGTCTCTGTCAGAATGATAGACATCACTTCGTCGTCATCATAGGAGATTTAATTATGCTCATCTGTTCTGGGATCTGTGTACTCTATGTATAACAGTGAACAGTATAGGGTCATCTGTTAAAGACAATAGGAATACCTATAATGAGCAAGCAAGAACCAGGATATATGCCTATAACCTTTATCTTCTGGTACTCTTGCTTAGTCTAATGGTTTCACTGTAAATTATAGTGTTAATTTTGTGAGGTTGACAGTTCAACTCTCATAAGAGTAACACTTTACACTCAATTGTTATTATTAGCTGTTCTGTTCATTCCCTGACTGTCCTTCATGAGTATTGTTGAAAGGTAGTCTGTTTGAAAATATTCCCATTCACTCACCAGTAATCACCTTCATTTCATTGGTACTACTTAGATAAATTGTTACTTACTTAGCTATGAGTGCTATAGAACCTGAGTTGATACAGGTGTAGCATTGTCTAGTTGTTTTAATATACTTTCCCTCTAACATACATATGCTGATAAATACCTATAAACCTCAATAAGCAGTTTCTTTTTGTACAAGGCTTTTAGATCTTATAAGCATTGCAGTATACTTATAGACATGGAGATGGTGTATAAGCACATATTATTATCTATAATGCAGTTGGCAGTTTACATGCATTTTGAGGCTTTATATTCACATATTGTAGATTACATACACTGGTAATCAGTTCCCTTTTTTCCCTGCGGCAGGGAAAAAAAGTTATTGGAAAGCTGACCCTTCTATATGGCTTTCAATATCCCTTTCTTTGTAATACAAAGGATATATATTTCTGTTCATTCTATAAATAAGCTGTTTATATACATGTTTATCTGTCATACAAAAGAACATATTTCTGCCATGATAGCAGATAGAAAGAACATCTAAAGTGAAAGGTCTGCTCACATGAAAGGGGTAAGGAAACATCATCTTTCTGACTGTTTCAAAAAAAAAAAAAAAGCTCTTTGTTCTTGTATGAAAGGGGAAACAAATGATGTCCTTTCTGCAAAAAATATAAAGATGCTGTTTTCATGTCAAGGAAAACATGAATATAAATATCTTCTTTGTTTTCAACAAATGGTTCTTTCTGCTGCAAAGAAACAGTTATACAAATCTAAATAGATGAACTTTTAAAAATCTAAATGGATGAACTTTTAATTGTGTTAAGTGCTGTGTAAGAACCAAAGGGAAGTAGCAGAAAGTCTGAAGGGAACCAAGTGGCTATCACAAGACTATATCAGAGTGAGCGACTACACATCTTGCAGGCCAAAAGCAAGTCTGAACAAAATATGTAAACTCCAACAGATACCTTCGGAGAAGCTGAAGATGATAAAGGCTTAGAACGCACAGGGAGTCGGATAAGAGCGGGGAGCGAGGCAAGAAACACTAATAACAAAACTGAAGTACAGGAGTGTAGAGTATAAGTATTTATACTAAGTGGTAGGCATAAGGCATATGACCTCGCAGGGAGATCCAATGTGGTCTGCAGGATCTCCCTGCGGGTTAAGTATAAAGGCATAGTAAGTAAGGGGAACGAGAAGACATACATGAGGCAAGGAAAACAAGGCGAATGCCGAAAGGACAAACCAAAGTCCAAATGGGTAAAGATCCGAGTTGATGGTCGGAGGGTCCGTACAGGTCCGAGTGAGTCTGTGTGCAGATTAACTGTTTGAAGGGAAACACTCAGATACCTTCATCACGTAAAAACCCTGTTGCGCTCCAAGGATAAGCTCGGAGCGTCTGAAGATGCATGGGATATAACAGCGGCTGTGAACCATGCAGATAAAGGCACCCAGAACGATACCTATGAATAGTTTGACTAGGAGGTCAGAGGTCAGGTGGGGTATGTAGGGACGTTTCGGAGGAACCGAGAGGATCTAGAGCATTCGTTGGATGTGACGATCGAGGCACGGAGAACCCGCATGCACCGCAATCATTTCTAAAACCAACTCACCCTTCACAAATGCATGGAGGTTGACGACAAGACCTTCGAGGCCACCATGCGGGACGATTATACCATGGCTAACAAGGCCATGTACGCACAATGTTGGAGGGATTGAATTCATACTGAACAGTTAGTGGACTATAGAGCAGAACAACGACAGATTGCATTAAGGCTTCTCACGAGTGTCATGGATAAATACCTGTACTCTACCTGCAGGTAATTTGGGCTTCAAAACCAATACCTGCATTTGCAGCATCCGTGGGAAACGGGTACCTGTACTCACGGATACAGGTACCTGCACAGGTTATCCACGGGTATTTCATATAAAAAATCAGGATACTAAGGTATATGGACAATATAAGCATCTTATATAGGATGTAGTATCAAGTAATACACTGCTATGGACACCATAGGACATAGGAAGACTGTAGTGACTGAAACATATACAAGATAATAAATACTATGATCTTCCAAAGTCATACCTGTACTCTTGGCATCCGTGGGAAACGGATACCTGTATCCGCGGATGTCAAACCCACGGATGTTTTCCTGCAGGTAGCTGTGCAAACATCCGCGGATATTGACACTCGTGCGGAGCTTTAGATTGCATGGGATCAGAGAGAAGGAGAGCCAAGTCACAAGTTGGGCAGCAGTTCGGACAAGCCGCCCAAGAAGAAGAAGAAATCAAAGTCCAAGTTGAAGAAGACTTCGGACAAGGGTGGAGGGGCCGATAAGGGTGAAGGATCATCCAAAAGACGCATAGACTAGACGATAGAAGCCCAAATGTAAAATAGAATACTGCAAGAAACCAAGTGACGAAAAAGACCAGAGTGACCAAGAGTAAGAAGTCAGATGGAGAGTCCAAATGGCATTAGTAAGTAGTCAGGCCCAGGTTTCTGAGAATATTTCTTGTGGAAACTCTCAATAAGGCCAGGTGCATCAGCAATGTCATCAGTACCAACCCAGGAGTATTGCACTGAATGCTATCTGCCCACCAGTGTGGGGCTGACTAGACCGTGATGGGCCGCTGTCACTTCTTTGATGACCTACTACCAGTGGGAGTCTTCTTCTTTGCCTTTGCCAATGGCGCTTGCTTTTGACGATGGGCTGGCTGGCCGGGCATGGGAGACAAGAGGCAAGAGGGCAGGCTTCGGCAATCGCACGGCCATGTTGATAGGGGCTACATAGGACAGAAGGTGTTCGGATGGTACAAAGAGGGTGCATACCGACTCATAGAGTCGGTATGCAAACAAGGCGTTTGGACGTGACAAACGGCTTCCCATCAAATCTCATTCGGACTTCACGTTCGGAGCCCCGTTTGGTCATATTTGACCATACCTAATTGATTTCGTAGGGGCTAAGGAATTATTTAGAGAACTTTAGAGTTGGTTGGTATATATTTCGTTAGGACATACTGTACTATTTAGATCAAGTGTCCACAACTTTTTGATTTTTTGGACCCCAAAAAATTTGTTTTGATTTAAGGCAATTTTTAACGATGAGTTTTTTGGTCATTGTAACGCGTAACGCAGACACTTAATCTAAATAGTACAGTAGACTGAGTCGCCAACTGTGCGGGATACGCTTTCGCTGACAGTCGCCGGTCAGCAGTCTCCAAGTAATTTGTTTGCATAGGAACTCGTGAAGCAATCGAAGTGAGTCAAAAATACCGCCCAACAAGCTCATGAAGAGCAAAAAACCCCATTGCACTATTAAACAATGAAAAAAAGATGTTATACACTAGGCGTGGCCAGTGGCCCAGTGCGTGCCAATACCTCGAATTTCCTGTTCGTATTTGTGATATGTGTTGGCAGTGGACCTCACGACTGTGCTGGTGCTCGAGCCTCGTCCAGAGGGGCATAGGGGACACGTTCTCCGCGCCATATGTCATGTTCCCATTGCACAACATGGGGACTTACTGAGATGCTGGCACAGAATGCAGTCCGCTTTTTTGATGGTTATTCAGTTCACTGTCGCCACAGGATGACAGTCAATCCAACACCTGTTCCGGGCTCCGTTCTACTCCGCAGGGTGAGCAAGCTAGTGGAGGCCCTGGGACCTTGGGGACACATCCAGCACACATCCAGCCAGGGAGCTTGAACCACCAGCATAGCCGCGTCGAAACGTCCAGAACACCGCCAACGCTGGTGGACTGAGCAGCCCAAACTCGTAAGCAGAATTGAGTAAGCAAGAGGGCGAGACAAGTTAGAGGTCGCGCTGTATGCACTGTGCACACTGGCCAGATAGTGGCGTGTGCACGCTGGAAGGCAGTGGGGATGCAGTGCACTTAGAGGTATAAATTAGCAGCTTTTGTAGACTCTAGGACAGTGAATACGAGTGCATGGCTCTGTGCGGGTTTATTTGGATTATCGCTATTCTTATTGTTGTTGCCGTTATCGCTGTTTCGTTATCGCCGTTTGTGTTGAAGAAGCTCTGTCATTGCATCCTGTTGTTCCGAGTATCCGCCCGCTGTCCCATCTCCCCGCCCACTGTTGATTTGGTCCCGCCGTTATTTTGCTTACTTAAACACCCCAACCCTATTGTTCCGAGCCGTTAAACATGTTTTTCTGGATTGCAACAGCTATATACTTTAGCTGGAACCCCCGTACTTGTGCGCATCAGCTAAACTACCCACTCACCTCAAACTCTGACGTGATCTGCTTCTGAACCGGTCTGATCCAAGGGATCGAGACTTGGCCCTAGTGTTCGTCACGGGTGGCGTGACCCGTGACGGGCCGCGAGGACGGGCCGGTGCGGGTACGGGTACGGGCCTGGTGCCTTGAACCCGCTGGCCCGCACCTTGGCCCGCCGGGCCCGGCTGACCGGCATACCGGTGGTCGGCGGGCAAGGCCGGGAGCTGTCGCGTCCCTTGAACGGAGGTCTGGCCAAGGTCCGGGCAGCCCAGCCTCGTTGTCAGGCGATAACTCGACATCGACACACATTTGGCAGTGCATCCGGCGAGATCCGCCGCTGATCAGATCGTGCGGGCCTTGGGCAACCGGGCTACCCGCGGCCCGCCCGCCAAAGCGCGGGTACCCGCACCCGCCGCCACGGGCCCGGGCCATCGGCGGGGACGGGTACGGGCCACCCCGGATTTACCCGCGGGTGGCCCGTGACGAACACTACTTGGCCCGCGTGTTTTGGTGTTAAGCTCCCTGGTTTTGTGTTCTGTTGTGTTTGTGTGCTGATTATAGTATGTTGTGTTGGAGTTTTCTTGCGTTTCACTGCGCCATCCCGACGCCGAGCGGGGTCCTGTTGCTCCCCGTCACCACGCCAAAAACACCTGGGTACTGACAAGCTTTCTCACTGGTGTGAGAAAGAACAAGAAAAGCAAGAGCCCTTCAAACTGCTCTAACTGCAACCAAAGGCTACAGCACAACCAGAGAGGGAGAAGAAGAGGAAAGACTTTGAACTCTGAGAGAAACTCTGCTGGGGAACCATATGATATGGAAACTGAACTAGAGACAGGCTTATATACCCTACTAACTAGGAGCTAGGAGAAGGAACAGGAACAGGAACTGTGAGGAAACATATAGGAACTATGGAACACACAAAGGGAGAGATCAGGAACAACTACCAAATATGAACAAACAAGCAAAAACAAGCAACAACAAGCCAAAGGCTTGTCAGTACTCATACTGGAAGAGCTGGCGGCAGAATTCCACCGCGCTGAGCACGATTGTGTTCACCCCGGAGCCGTTCGATCCCGCCGGGCCCATCATCCCGGGGAGGGCGTTGGCTCGGCTCCGGGTGATAAGTGGATGATATGCAGACAGTTGCTATTTTTTTGGTGTATTCGTAGTTTGTAAGGTGGGACGTGAAGTCTGGATAAAAACCGCTGGACATTACTACGATAGAGGCAGGTACATGTTGTAGTTGCATGCAGTGTACTGGAACTTGAACATTTGAGTGCTCCTGTACATGTATCAAGGAAAATGCAGAACTCGCAAGTTATTGAACAAACGTCCGAACTGGAACATATGTGTTGCAGTACAAATGGCGGCCTTGAGTCACGGCACGTATGGCGGCGAGGAGGCGAACGCATGCTCGTCGACATAGCGTATGACCCGTGGGGGCGGCTGCGCATGGCGCGCCAGCATCCCGCGCCCCCACACGAACTCAACCGTGTCGCTCTCCCGCGAGTACCACCCGCCGAACTTGTACGTAATTGTTTCCAAATACGGCAGCGCGGCGAGCAGCCGGTAAGCAGAGTGCGCGGGCGGGCCGGGGTGCATCCCCGCGTAGTAGTAGTCCGTGAAGAGGCACAGGTGCCGGAGGGGGAGCGCGCGCAGCGCGGCGAACAGCGTCTCGCCCTGGAGCGGCATATCAGCGCAGTTGGGCTTACTCGGCAAACGCTGACCTGCGTGAGGTCGACCATCATCAGGCGGTCGACACCGCTATCCGGCGCGGGGAAGCGGATCTCCAGCGTGTGCAGCGCCGGCGCAAGCGCCGCGATCGCGTCGACGAAGCCGGCCATCGGCGCGAATTCGCCGATCGTGACGTACAGCGTGCCGAGCGCCGGCAGCGTGCCGAGCTGGGCGAACAGCACCGCCCACCGTTCCTGCGGCGGACAGAACTCGCGCATCGCCCCCAGACCCGCCGGCGGGCCGGCGACAATGCGCAGCGGGGGGGCATCGGGGTCGCGGACGTCCCAGAGCGCGAGGAGCTTGAGCGATGTCAGGCGCCGCGGGAGGCTGTGCAGCAGCGGGTCGTCGAGCGCGGTGTTGGAGAGGGCCAGGGAGCGGAGGCTGTCCAATACGCCGGCGGGCAGGGAATCTGGCGGGGGACAAGGTCGTACGGCGGGAGGCGCCGCGGCTGACGGTATGCGTCGGGTGTGAAGAGGAGCGAGAGGTCGCTGAGGGCGGGCATCCGCGGCAAAAGAGCGCTGAGCGGAAGATGCTGGAGGGGCGGGTGCTCCGTCACACTGAGCGTGGCCAGGCGGGGCCATTGAATTTTGAGCACTTGTCGCGGGAGCAGGTCGCCAGAGACGGTGAGACGGCGAACATTGGGGCTTACGCTGAGCAGAAGCTGGCTGACATTGTGCGCCTCTGTATTCGTGTCGACATCCGGGGCACGGGTGACCGTTGTGAGTCCGGCGACTCGGATCCGCAGTGTCAATGAGTGAAGAGCCTCGAACCTCATGAGAGACGGGTCCAGCCGCCCATCGTCGATCTGCGCCTGGTAGATGTGCAGTGCGGACAGGGCGGGGAGAGCGCCGAGGGCATAAAAGAAGTCGGGCGGCACAGCGCGCCGCAGATAGAGCGTGACCGTGGTCAAAACCGGCATGTTCTCCAGCGCCACAAGCAGCGTGTTGTCGACCGCGATCGGGCGCGCCTGGGCATGAGAGTAGTCGCGGACGTAGAACGTCCTACGAGCCTGAGAGTCAACACGTGGTTCCACTACCGCACTTTTACCGCACCTGACGAAGCGCCACAACGATGTGGGCGGCACAGACGACCCACCGTGGCTGCTCCCCGCATTATGCAGCGTGGCAAACGTCCAGGGGGCCGCCGCGCGCCTCAGCCCGCGCGAAGCCGTGGCGACCGCGAGCGCACAGCGTCGCGAGAAGTCCGCGTACTCCGTGCTGGCCACCGTCTCGGCGTCCGCCTCGGCTGCGAGGCGGAGCGCGTCCAGGATGGCGTGCAGGATCTCGGTGGGCAGGGTCTGCAGAGCGGGGGCCTCCGAGTCCATCGATGGCACAGTCTCGGTGAAAAGAGTAAGTACGGCACCGTGACAGGCACCGTGCAGTTTTCAGACTTGTTTTAGACCGAATTTGTTATAATCTCCCGCCTGGAGGCCGAGAGTAGTACTATTAGTATTACTTATGCCTCCTCCTCAATCCACCGGTGTCGGCAGGCTAGTGTCAGCCCGCGTGAGTCTGGGAGTGGGACCCGGTCAAATACAGTCAGTCGTGCGCCGGGCCCTGGCACGGCGATCGACGATCAGATCACCGCACCACGTGGCGCATCACTGTGACGGCAGCATCAACCTCGTTTTTCTTCCTCCCACCACCATGCCGAAAGCGTTCAAGGTGCGCGCCCCGCCCCGCCCGCCCGCCCCTCCGTTCCTGACCGCAGACTGCTCGCAGCGCACAGTGTACAAGCCCCCGCTCTCGCGCAAGCTAGGCAAAAGCGACCCGGACGACGAAGGTAGCGCAGCCCCTCCCGCAGGAGAAGGCACTCGAATTCTGATGGTGTGCTTCTAGAAGCTGCGGCGCAGGCGCACCTGCATGGAAACAAGGAGGAAGACACTGGCTTTGGCTCGTCGGGCGTAGGGCTGGACAGCGGGCTGGGCGGCATCGCGGGCTTGGTGCAGCGGGAGCGGGAGCTACAACGCGCATGGAATACCGACAACGCCTCGCGTGCCGCGGCGGCGACTGCGACTGCGACTGCGACTGCGACTGCGCCAGGCGTACAAGGCAAGCCGGCGGTCAAGGCCGAGCCTGCGCTTCCCGTGCGGCAGCATGCATATACGAAAATGGACGTTGACAAGCCCGTCGACGGCAAGGCGGAGCCGGGGTCGCTCTGCGTCCCGACCTTCGGATCCGGAGGGGCGCCGGTCGGTGCAGCTGTCAAGCGAGAGAGTCTGGAGGTGGACGAGTCCCTCCGGGACGCGACTAGTAGTAGCACGGCCCTTAAGCGCGAGCCGATCCCCGCGCGCCTCCCACCTGCCGCGACGCCTGCGTCTTTGGATCAGAGAACGGAGGTGGACAATTCCCGCCCCGGCCCCCGCCGGCGTTCCCGGCCCGAGGATACCACCACAGCGACCGTCAGGCCCGCGGCGAGTGCTGCGCGGGTCCCGTGGGCGGGGCGGTTCACGCTCGTCGAGCTGCCGCAGACGCCCGAGCAGCGCGGCGCCGCGCGGCGCTACGGCGTGCACGCGACGTCGTATCGCGCGGTGCCCGTGGCCGCGGTGGAGCCGGTGCCGGTGCGGGCGCCCATCGCGCCGGCGCCAAAGCGGTTCACGGTGGTCGAGCTCCCGCAGACACCCGCGCAGCGCCGCGCGGCGCGGCTGTGCGGCGTGCACGCGACGTCGTACCGGGCAGTCCCCGTCGCCCAGGCCGAGCCGGCGCCTGCGCCTGCGCCGATCCCGCGTCCACCGGCCCCGGCGCCCCAGCGTTTCACGCTTGTTGAGCTGCCACAGACGCGCGAGCAGCGGCGCGCGGCGGAGCGGTACGGCGTGCACGCGCGCACGCACCGCGTCGTGCCGATCGGCCCGCCCGACTCGGAGCCGCACCGTGATGCTCCTCCTGGCCAAAGACGAGGGGCTAGATGTTAGGGTCTTGATCGAGAATTTTTTTACGTGCTCGCTGCCTATATAGTCCAAAATGATAAGCGTTGTCCGAACAGCAACCGACTTGCGATAAAAGTGGGGAAATGTAAATTACATGGAAGATTTTACTTCCGCTTTGGCCGCCATGCTTCGTTGCTTTCCAAAACGGTCACGGGTCGGGACAAAACCACCTACATTGGCAAGGTATACTTTTAGTTATCGTACAAAAATTACATTATCTACGAGAAGTGCTTGAGGACACCCTCCTTGATGAACTGGTCGAGCGTCGTTCGCGTCGGAATGCGTGCCTTGACTCAAGGCAGTTATTTATCTGCAACGCATATGTATGCTTTAGAGACTTGTGTCCGGACTCCGAACGTTTAACATCAGGCTTGAATAACTTGCGGAGTACGAGTGTTTTCCTTGATACAATACAGAGCAATCAAATGTTCAAGTTCCAGTAGAGTGGATGCAACTACAACATGTACCTGCCTCGATCGTAGTAATGTCCAGCGGCTTTTATCCCGACTTCACGTCCCACCTTACAAGACGGATACACCAAAAAATATCAACCATCTGCATCCTCAACCTATCGCCCCGGAGCCGCGGCAACGTCATCGCCCATGCTGTCCCCGGGATCGAACGGCTCCGGGGTGAACACAATCGTGCTCAGCGCGGTGCCGGTGGTGTCCTGCCGCCGGCTCGTCCGGTACGAGTCCACCGGCGTTTTCGGGGCGGTGACGGGGAGCGACAGGACCGCGCTCGGCGTCGGGATGGCGCAGTTGATCGTCTGGTTGAGCTTGCTGCGGATGCTCTGGCGCGAGTTCAGGCTGCGTTTGCGTGAGACGGTCGCTGAAAGAGAGAGGAGATGGAGGGAACGGACGTGGCGAGGAGGGCGTTGGTGTACAAGCGGCCGAGGGAGAAGTGCAGTGCCTGTGGATGTGGATCAGCGCGACTGCAGGGGAATTTGGACAAGACAGACGATGTATATAAAAGAGTGGCGGGATACAAGGTACTGGTAGACATTAGCGCTGTGGAAACAAACAGGATTTCGGCACATACGGTAACCAGGCAAGCAATGGCCAGGAAGCTCGTCGCCAGTCCCGTGGCGACGGTGAACTGGATAACTGTCGAGAAGACGGACTGCATTCTGCGCCAGCATGCCAGTAAGTCCTGTGTTATGCAGTGCGAATATGACATACGGCGCGGAGAACGTGTCCCTCATGCCCTTCTGGAGGTAATACACGAGCACGAGCGCGATCGTGATGTCCACTGCCGACGCATATCACAACCACGAACGGAAAATTCGAGGTGTTGGCACGCACCGGCCGCGCCGAGCGCGAACAAGACGACAATCTCCGTGGTCAGCGTGCCCAGGAACGACGTCCGCGGATGGATCGTGTTCTGGACGCCCATCGTCACGTCCACCGCGAACGTCGTGAGACACGCGGCTGCCAGCAGCGCCGCGAGCCACACGTTTTTCTTGCTGAAGATCCATATCCTGCGCTCATTCAGCCAAGAATCGAGGCAAGATGGCGAAATGAGGATCTAGAGCATTCGTCCTGTCGTCACCTGTACACGGGGTTTTTTTAAAAAAAGCCTTCTCATTACCAGTGTGAATGTTTTTAAAAAATGCCTCTAATTTATGCCCCTGCCAAAAGGTGGGTTTTATATAGGGAAATGAGAGATCAAAAAAAGGTTTAAAAAGTTGAAAGGCCATGTCAGGGTGGGCAGTGTGGTAGCTATAAGGCCCCAGACCTGACGTGTGGAAAATTCCTTAAGTATGGGGAAAATACTGAGTAGGGGAAAGGCCAAAAAAGATGAAAAAAAATGTTGATGGGAGTTTGACAGCGTGGATTTTATTCAAATGAGGGGACAACTTGTAAATCACTGATGTTTTTTAAAAATGTTAATCTTCTAATTACAAGGGATCTTTTTAAAAAAAACCCCGTATACGCCTGCATTCGTTGGATGTGACGATCGAGGCACGGAGAACCCGCATGCACCGTAATCATTTCTAAAACCAACTCGCCCTTCACAAATGCATGGAGGTTGACGACAAGACCTTCGAGGCCACCGTGCGGGACGATTATACCATGGCTAACAAGGCCATGTACGCACAATGTTGGAGGGATTGAATTCATACTGAACAGTTAGTGGACTATAGAGCAGAACAACGACAGATTGCATGGGATCAGAGAGAAGGAGAGCCAAGTCACAAGTTGGGCAGCAGTTCGGACAAGCCGCCCAAGAAGAAGAAGAAATCAAAGTCCAAGTTGAAGAAGACTTCGGACAAGGGTGGAGGGGCCGATAAGGGTGAAGGATCATCCAAAAGACGCATAGACTAGACGATAGAAGCCCAAATGTAAAATAGAATACTGTAAGAAATCAAGTGACGAAAAAGACCAGAGTGACCAAGAGTAAGAAGTCAGATGGAGAGTCCAAAGAGCATTAGTAGTCAGGCCCAGGTTTCTGAGAATATTTCCTGTGGAAACTCTCAATAAGGCCAGGTACATCAGCAATGTCATCAGCACCAACCCAGGAGTATTGCACTGAATGCTATCCGCCCACCAGTGTGGGGCTGACTAGACCGTGATGGGCCGCTGTCACACCCTTGATGACCTACTACCAGTGGGAGTCTTCTTCTTTGCCTTTGCCAATGGCGCTTGCTTTTGACGATGGGCTGGCTGGCCGGGCATGGGAGACAAGAGGCAAGAGGGCAGGCTTAGGCGATCGCACGGCCACGTTGATAGGGGCTACATAGGACAGAAGATGTTCGGACAGTACGAAGAGGGCGCATACCGACTCATGGAGTCGGTATGCAAACGAGGCGTTCGGACGTGACGAACGGCTTCCCATCAAATCTCATTCGGACTTTACGTTCGGAGCCCCGTTTGCCACATATTTGACCGTACCTAATTGATTTCGTAGGGGCTAAGGAATTGTTTAGAGAACTTTAGAGTTGGTTGGTATATATTTTGCCAGGACATAGACTGAGTCGCCAACTGTGCGGGATACACTTTCGCTGACAGTCGCCGGTCAGCAGTCTCCAAGTAATTTGTTTGCATAGGAACTCGTGAAGCAATCGAAGTCAGTCAAAAATACCGCCCAACAAGCTCATGAAGAGCAAAAAACCCCATTGCACTATTAAACAATGAAAAAAGATGTTATACACTCGGCGCGGCCAGTGGCCCAGTGCATGCCAATACCTCGAATTTCCTGTTTGTGTTTGTGATATGTGTTGGCAGTGGACCTTACGACCGTGCTTGTGCTCGTCCAGAGGGGCATAGGGGACATGTTCTCGGCACTGTATGTCATGTTCCCATTGCATAACATGGGGAGTTACTGAGATGCTGGCGCAGAATGCAGTCCGTTTTTTGGACGGTTATTCAGTTCACCATTGCCACAGGATGACAGTCGATCCGACACCTGTTCTGGGCTCCATTCCACTCCGAAGGGTGAGCAAGATAGTGGAGGCCCTGGGGACCTTGGGGACACATCCAGCATGCATCCAGCCAGTTGGGATGACGCCAGAGGGCGTCTGGAGCTTGAACCATCAGCATAGCCGCGTCGAAACGTCCAGAACACCGCCAATGCTGGTGGACCGAGCAGCCCAAACTCGTAAGTGGAATTGAGTAAGCAAGAGGGCGAGACAAGTTAGAGGTCGTGCTGTACGCACTGTGCACACTGGCCAGATAGCGGCGTGTGCACGCTGGAAGGCAGTGGGGATGCAGTGCACTTAGAGGCAGCTTTTGTAGACTCTAGGACAGTGAATACAAGTGCCCGGCTCTGCACGGGTTTATTTGGATTATCACCGTTCTTATCATTGTCGCCGTTATCGCTGTTCTGTTATCGCCGTTTGTGTTGAAGAAGCTCTGTCATTGCGTCCCGTTGTTCCGATTATCCGCCCGCTGTCCCGCCTCCCCACCCACTGTTGATTTGGTCCCGCCTGTTATTTTGCTTACTTAATCACCCCAACCCTATCGTTCTGAGCTGTTAAATGTGTTTTTCTGGATTGCAACAGCTTAGCTGGAACCCCCCCGTACTTGCGCCGCATCAGCTAAACTACCCACTCACTTCAAACTCCGACGTGATCCGCTTCTGAACCGGTCTGATCCAAGGGATCTGAGACTCGGCCCGCGTGTTTTGGTGTTAAGCTCCCTGGTTTTGTGTTCTGTTGTGTTTGTGTGCTGATTATAGTGTGTTGTGTTGGAGTTTTGTTGTTTGTGTGTGTGTGTTCAGTTTTCTTGCGTTTCACTGCGCCATCCCGACGCTGAGCGAGGTCCTGTTGCTCCCCGTCACCACGCCAAGAACACCCGGGTACTCATACCGGAAGAGCCGGCGGCAGAATTCCACCGCGCTGAGCACGATTGTGTTCACCCCGGAGCCGTTCGATCCCGGGGAGGGCGTCGGCTCGGCTCCGGGGTGATAAGTGGATGATATGTAGACAGTTGCTATTTTTTTGGTGTATTCGTAGTTTGTAAGGTGGGACGTGAAGTCTGAATAAAAACCGCTGGACATTACTACGATAGAGGCAGGTACATGTTGTAGTTGCATCCACTCTACTGGAACTGTGGAACATTCGATTGCTTGGTATTGTGTCAAGGAAATACAAAACTCGTTGGTACTCCGAGTCAGCAAGTTATTCAGGCTTAAACTTGAACGTTCGGACACATGTCTCTGGAGCATACTAGTAGTACTTATGTGCTGCGGTATAAATGGCTGCCTTTGAGTCAACTTTCAAGGCACGTATTCCGGGGCGAACGCATGCTGGTCGACATGGCGTATGGCCCGCGGGGGCGGCGGGCGCCCCAGCATCCCGCGCCCCCACACGAACTCGACCGTGTCGCTCTCCCGCGAGTACCACCCGCCAAACCTGTACGTAATCGTCTCCAGGCCCGGCAGCTCCGCCAGCAGCTGGTACGCGGAGTGCGCTGGCGGGCCGGGGTGCATGCCCGCGTAGATGTAGTCCGTGAAGAGGCACAGGTGGCGCAGGGGGAGCGTGCGCAGCGCAGCGAACAGCGGCTCGCCCTGTGTGAGGTCGACCATCATCAACCGCTCGGGTTCATCCGGCGCGGGAAAGCGGATCTCGAGCGTGTGTAGCGCCGGTGCGAACGCCGCGATCGCGTCGACAAAGCTGGCCAGCGGCGCGAACTCGCCGATCGTGACATATAGCGTGGTAAGCGCGGGAAGTGTGCCGACCTGGTCAAACAGCAGCGCCCACCGGGCTTGCGGCGGACGGAACTCGCGCATAAATCCCAGGCCATCAATTGGCCAAGGAGGAAAATCGGGATCAAGGACATCCCATAGTGCCAATAGCTTGAGTGATGTCAGGCTGCGCGGGAGTTTTCGCAGCAGTGGGTCCTCAAAAGCACAGTTTGAAATAGCCAAAGAGCGGAGGTTGTCCAATATGGGGAGGGAATCGGTCGGGGAAACAAGGTAAAATGGTGGGAAGCGCTGCGCTTGGTGATGTGCATCGGGTGTGAAGAGGAGCGAGAGATCGCTGAGAGCGGGCATCCGTAGCAGAAGAACACTGAGCGGAAGATGCTGGAGGGGCGGGTGCTCCGTCATAGTGAGCGTAGCTAGGCGGGGCCATTTAATCTGGAGCACAAGTTGTCGCGAGAGCAGGTCGCCCGAGACGGTGAGACGGCGAAGATTGGGGCTTACGCTGAGCAGAATTTGATGGATATTTTGCTGTTCCGTATTCGTGTCGACATCCGGGGCACGGGCGACCGTTGTGGGTCCGGCAATCCGCAGTGTCAATGATTGAAGCGACTCAAATCTCATGAGAGAACGGTCCAGCCGCCCGTCGTCGATCTGCGCCTGGTAAATGTGCAGTGCGGACAGGGTGGTAAGAGCGCCGAGGGCATAAAAGAAGTCGGGCGGCACGGCGCGCCGCAGATAGAGGGTGACCGTAGTCAGCACCGGCATGTTCTCGAGCGTCCCCAACAGCGTGTTGTCGACCGGGATCGGGCGCTCCTGGACGTAGGAGTAGTCGCGGACGTAGAGCGCCCTACGAGCCTGAGAGTCAACACGTGGTTCCCTGGCCGGCACTTTTACCCACCTGACGAAGCGCCACAGCGATGTGGGCGGCACAGAACTTGAAGACTCTCTGTTCCCCGCGTTCAAGTTATGCACCGTGGAGAACGTCCAAGGGGCCGTAGCGAGCCTCAACCGGCGCGAAACTGTGGCAATCGACAGTGCACAGCGTCTCGAGAAGTCCGAGTACTCTGTGCTGGTCACTGTCTCTGAGTCCGCATTGGCTGACAGGCGGAGCTCTTCTAAGATGGTGTGCAGAATCTCGGTAGGCAGGGTCTGTAAAGTGGGGACCTCCATCGATGTGCTCTGGTGTGGGTCGGTGTGAAAGAGTCGGCAACGGCGTTATGTCACGCCGAGCCTCAGTTTTCGATCACTTTTTATCCCCTTCCTTCTGACCTTTTCAGACCGAAGTTGTTATAATGTCCCCCAAAGACATTGAAGCACTACTATGACTTGTCCTCACCAGCGTCGGCGGGCCAGAGTCGTACTATGATCATGCACAGACTGCCCCGGGCCGGCGCCGCACCCACAAATGAGTCATGACACTGCGTCCACAGCAGGCTGTGAGGGCCTGTAGGCTGTGATCAGCTTCTTGCATCGCCGCAATTACTATTTCGAGCACAATTGTCTCATGAACGTGCGCGAAATACACGCCCCCACAAGATCTAGTTTCCAGATGATTCGATATTCCATTTTCATCCCACGTACAAACAATAGGGCGTGGACTATAAAAGCCAAGCCGTCTTTCACATCGTCAGGCTCTCACAAGTCACTTCCTCTCTCAAGCTTCCTCTAGTTTCGAAACAACATGGCATCTCAGCCTTCCGACTCAGAACTCGTTTCCTCTGACGTATCTCTGGACGGACTTATCCTTCCTGTATACTATTGCGACTCAAATGAGGGTCCTCACACTCAAGGAACTGGAGGCTCCGCAACGTACTGGCAGCATAGTCTATCCGATGAGGTATGTGTATCCATGACCACTTGAAGTTTTGGTGATCGTTGACTGGCGCGCACTCGTAGATTGCATTTATGGCTAAGCGCTATCTGCCGACTTTTCCCGAGTACGAGGCGAGCACCATGCTTCAAACAGGTCTACTAGAAGCCACCAATGCGGAGCCTGCCAGTGCAGCAGCGGTCACAACTCAGACTACTACTACTACTACTAGTACTGGTGCTAGTGAAAGAACGACAAGTTCAATCTCTGAGGCGGGCGGCGCTCACTGGCATCCGAGTCGTCAGCCTCAAGTTGCAACCCGAGGTGTGAATACCACCAGTCGTGGCGTTGAAGATCATAGTGGTGGCATATATCCTCCAAGTCGGCTTGAACATGCCAGTGCGGTTACTAGTACTGTGCCTAATATAGCCGTCTACGCGGATCAAGAAGAACAACGCAATCGACCAGAAGATATGGTGGACCCGGCGGAACGTTCCATACACCAACAACTGGTGACAACAAAGCAGATCAAGGCTGCGGCGGGGGGATACTCTGGCGAGACCACATGTGCGTCACGCGAGTTCCCGTTTTACTAGTGTACTACGGAGACTTATTTTATTTCTCTGCAGTTGGAATGTGCTATACTGAATTGGTTGGTCTCCATATTCATATTTCAACTTGTAATTTTCTTGTCAGAATTTTGGGGCAAGAAACACACCAAATGGCCAGCGACAACGTCTTCATTTTTCTGTTGACACTGGTACGAGTCAAAAGTTTTACTTCAAATCCATGTGCCTGAGCTAATATGTCTATCTAGGGTCGTCTGGCACGTAAGGTGTTGTCCTCAGACTCGTTGTAGAGTTCTGACCACAGTTTACCCACAGCTGGGTTCTATCCCATGAGAAGATTGTTGAAAATCCTGATTATCGCATCATGGGAGTGGGCAGTCTTGGACTAGGTGCATTGGGCTATGTACCACTGACTGCAGAGACTCCTGCAGAATATGAAGCTCGTCGACCCTTCGAGATCAAGTATATCAGTGAGAACTACGATCTTTGTAAGTGTGAAGTCCACTGCTCTGAACTTCTGATTGATCAATATTATAGCAGGGAAAATCTTTTCAGACTGGATTCGGATTGCAGCAATGCAATTTAAAGGATACAAATACATTCCAATAGAATTTGGTGTTGCAGATCAACTGCAAGGAAACTATATGGAGCATTCACCATACTCAGGTGTTTGGGGTCTTGGAAGAAAGTAGGTCAAATATTGTAAGCCAAAGAGGGAGGCTTACATTTTACCCACAGCATGGACCCTCGTGCAGCTCATGGCCCAGTAAGTAATCTTATAACAAAAAAGTCTGCTCTAAAACTGGTATACAGAACTTTCTTCTGCAACTTAGGAGGTTTTTGGTATGTTTTACCATGGTAAACAAGTCATAATGATCTGATTGATGAAACACTTGCCAGCGAGAGCCACAGATAACTATTCACCTTACACCTGATGGAGGGTATGTGTATTCTCAAAACAGTCATAGCTAGCAAATTATTCTCAACAATATACCACAGTGATATTACCCTTGGGTTACTCCCAACTTTTTCACCTGCTTATGATGCCCACTTTGGGAGATATAGCAAGGCAGTTAATGCTGTTGGGACAACACACTGGCTAGTTCCCTGCAGCTCCTATGAGGTTGCAGGGCAGGAAATACAAACAGAAGGGCCAAGAACTGCAATTTTTGACACAGGAAAGATTTCATAGTTATACCGCAAGTGGCACACTGACCATTATACAGGAGCACCATTAACATTTGTTAGCAAAGCAGTTGCAACAGCCATTCACAATCAACTTCCAGGTCCTGTCTTTTATAACAAGGAAGGCTACAGATTGGTTCCCAGGAATGTTGAGAAGACTGCATGGCCAAAGGTTTTCATCAACATTCCAGGTGCTGGCCAAAAGTTGCAATTTCAATCCTTTAGTGTTCCAGGAGCATTGTATGGGGTTCAAGGCCCTTTTGATATTTGTGGCATCCAGGACAAAAAGCTTGCTTTCACCCGGAAAGAAGACTCCAAGGATCTTGAGAACCATATGGATATTTTAGGTCGTGTAAGGATTCTAATATTAGTTTATAAAAAAACATAATACTGACCAATTTATTGACAGACTGCCTTGCATGGTATTCAATTGAATTTGAGATTCCCAGAAGATGGGAAGAGTCCACATCATGTTATATGGCGGAGCAAACCAATACATTTCGCTGGGTACAAGCCCACTGCTGATCCTGTGGAGCCAACAGCACATGAACAAGGCAATGCCTAAGCTAGTGGGGAATTCCATAGCACATTTGTGTTCTATCTAGCAATCAATACAAGAACATCTTCTGATGATATTCAATATCTTGTATAGAGTGAAGAGAATTAGTTATTGGCATTTGATTTATTGTAGGTACTGTAAGGGCAACCCTAGAGGCCTGAAGTCAAGGTCCTAGCAGGGGAGGATTCAAAGAGTGAATAATGGTAAGCAAATACAAGTGGGGCTGACCTAGCAGGGGAGGATCCAAAGAGAAGAAACTCTAAGGGTCTGCCTGCTCGGCCACTGACTATATACTGCGCTGCGCATCTGACACGCCAAGGATGATCGTTGCTCCAAGCAGAAGGCCTGTACAGCGTCGCAGGCCTTGTCCCAAGGTGACTGTTGGGGGAGGGCGGCAGAGTGGAGCGCCCGGAGCGGCGGTCCAAAGGGTCTGAAGGGGGAGTTCCCCTGACAGCGATTGAAAAAAAATAGACATAGTTAAGCATTAGCTTTGGGTATCTGAAGTTTCAAGTCAGCAGCCTTATGACTTTGATCACCCAAATAACCTCTTTTATGTTCATGAAGGGTCACACCGGGCACAATGGTAACAGCGGCTGGGAAATGGGAGTCTGATTGACAGACCATGTGGCGGACCACATGGCGGACCCAACGGGGGTTCCAACGGCAGCCAGGATCTCTTTGTCTACACTCTTTGTTCAAAATATATCAAAGACTAGCATTTACATAATAGCTATGACCAATTTAAAAAGCCACGTGAGGAACACATCTGGCGACCCAGATCGGTCATCCTTGCCGGGGCTCTCACGCCAACTCTCTTGCTTCCACACACCACCAGCATCAAACCACAACAGGAACAACAGCGGGACTACAGCATAAGCTGCAGCGTGGAGCGCGGCAGCAATGAGTTCGCTTGTCGTGGTAAAGAGAGAAAAAGATTGGGTGGTGGTGGTCCCTGCCGCCCGATCCAAATTTCTAGTTGCGTGCGCGCACTGCTGGTATCCACGCTGGTAGCCGGTGCCCAAGCATGGGCCCGGGTATGGGTACCCACCCTTTTGAACATGCGCTTCGGGTGGGAGGGATAACGAAATCAGTGGGAGGGGGACTGGCCCAGTCCCACTGATGAGCTCAAGTCCCACTGATTTGTCCCCAGTCCCACTGATCAACCACAAGTCCCACTGATTTGTCCATGTTCGGTGGGATTGATGGCATTCGGCACCTGAAGGCATCAATCAAGCGGCGATCACAGTGTCATCGCATGACAGCATGTGACATGTGTCCTTCTTGACTCCGATAACGGTCCCCACAGTACCCTCACGCATCTGGGCGGGGCCATCCGAACATCATCTGTGTGTTCAGTCACCCTCCGCGGCCTTCAGCGCTCCAAGCTCACAAGAATGGATGAGTCACCGGGCGCCAAGTCATCCTCGCACTGCCGCCATCTGCGCATTGTCTACGCGCGCACTGCGTTTTGTGCACATTCTGATAAATTTATGCATGCGGTAGTGTCTAACTCACAGTGGTAGCACCCGGCACGCTGCAATCCCTGTCCTGATGACCGGTCTGTCACGGATAAGACCCGGCCCGTCCGCTCCGGCGCTGGTGTCGAGCCATCGCGGGCCTGTAGCACGCAGCACGTGACGACGGGGAACATGCGCCCCAGTAGGAGGAACGCACACGTGGGAAGTACGTGACCGAGAACGACGCGTCGAGCCGTCGCCGAGCCCAACTCGACACAAGGGGACTGGGGAGGAGTGCTAGGAGGTTAGGAGTAGCGCCTGGCCCGCAAGGGGATACGATCGTCCCCTCTGCGGCCAGGAACGGGAGCGAGGAGGAGGAGGAGAGGCCAGGGTGTCCGATCACCCCTTTGCGGGCCCGTGTATATAAGGCGCGATAGTGTACCCTGTACTCTATCGCTTAGATCGTCTGAAGAACTACCTTACTCCGTGCGAGGAGACGTTATCGACTCATCGGGCCCGACACGACCCGATTCGAATCTTCAACCACTGTTAAGTGCCGTGTCAACCAAAGGGACGGAGACGGAGACGGA